GCGTAGAAGAAACGACGTTTTAACCATACCAGGTTACTCTAAGGCGACACGAGGACGCCGATTATGACTGCGTGGTTATGCAAAAAACTATCACCATGTCTATTATCGTAGTTAAATCCATGACAAACTGTCAACTATTAATGCTCCTAAGATATTTTCAATCGTTCATCAAACGACTTTCCTATATTTAATTTCATTTGCATTTATTAGCGGGAAAAATATACTACAAAAAATCTTTTCTGATGGACGAAATGATAAAATATATGTTTTTATTTGTCACATAGTGATCTTGGGCTCGTTTCTCGTAACCTTTGCAATGCGTCAAAATGTAAATATATAATATTTTTAAAATGCTGGTTTGTTATTCACTTATTGTAAGCCTGTTACGTAGTTATACTCCTTGGAAATGTGCTTTACAAGGTTTTAATACTTCCACTGTGGACATCAGTGCATCAAAGGTGAGAGTATTCCTCCTTGGTGGTATCCTCTCACTTTACTGCTTCTACCTTTTCGAGAAACTTGGATGCTTGCTATTTTCTCCTTTTTAGCATTGATTCCACCCATGTGCAGCAGGTTTTATCAGTTCCTCCCTGTTTCCGTGCTGTAATCGTTGTTTCAACTGCTTAATCAATATCCAAGAAGGTTGCTAATGAAATCTTCTTGTTGGTCAGTTAACCTCTATTTGTATCGTTATTTTCTGTAGACCTGATTCACAGGGTTTTCCTTTCTGGTAGGCATGTTGATGTTTATGAAGGTTTTTTTAAATTTGATAGATGCCCCTTACATGTTTCTCAACTAGCCTTTCGATTCTTTTGAATAGATAGAATGTTAAACTGAACGGTTTGTCCTGGGCCAGACAAAGAAAATTTAAGTAGATACTTCTTCTCGTTACCTGGTAGTTCAGTCTTTACATTAAGGAAATCAACGAGGTTTTGTATCGAACGTGAATGTAATTAACTCTTTTTACCTAGCTGGTTTTTTTTCATCGTATCTGATCCCCTTTATCTGTCTATTCACCATCAACAGTCTGTACTTTACGCCCATCTTTTTCTTTGCTTTTTTTTTCTTTGGAAAATGTAAAGGCATTGCCTTTGATCCAGAGATAAAATGTAAAGTGTTCATCATACCGTTTTTCTTTAGTTTTTAAGGTATTAATCATTATAATAAGTACTTTAAAATATTAACACACTATTTATTTCCTTTGCTATTTAAGTTTAATATAATAAAAGTTGGCAACTTTCAATGACTGAAGCAAAGAATTATTATTTTGAACTGTTTAAAACTTTTATTAATGGTCACGAGACCATAAATTCTTTCAAAATATTAGTTCAAATTGACCATATATTGTACAAAAAATTTTGGCGTATCGAAGAATATATTTTAGACATCCTTTCATGAACGTACAAGTATCATATTTTGATTGTTACTCTCTGTAATTAAGAATATGCTACAAGAGATAATAAATAAATTTTGAAATTTGAGATCTTAAAGCTTTACACTGCATGTCGGCACTTAAGAAAATAAATTGAAGTTTCCTTTGCAGGCTTGCTACAATAAATATTGAATTGTGTTTTTCTCCATCAACAAATATCAAACTTACGAAAAGTATTTATCGACGATATTGTACGATAAAAGACTAGCACGATTACGCGAGTCCGTGGATAATCAAAAACACTTAGCATTCGACAAGCGTAAAATTTTACTTGTCTAATGAAAAACTTTAGAAATCTCATGGCCTTTTGTAAATTAAATTACATTAATGGCAGCATTGTATATATTACCTTATCACACCGACGGAAAGACGACACATCTTGAAAAATAAAATGAAAACCTTTTGCAAAACAAGATTTTTGAACATATTTAGATTAGCAAGGGAACACAATATTAATTATATCTATATGAGAAAAATACAAGGTAACGCGGAAAATTCTAGCGGTTTTTTCATTGTTTTAGTACCGTTAATCAGCATTTTTTATCTACATAGAAAGATTAGGTGTTTACCATAATACTAATGTATAAATAATATAATACGAATAGAACAATACATCAGTTCGTAAAGAAAAAGTGTCTTGAACAGTTCATTGTAAATTTTAAAATTATTATTTCTCATGGCTTCAAAAACCCATAATTAGGCAACTCGTAAAATTTCCACTACGTTTGGTGATATAGCAATAAGCAAGCACGCTGCCCAAATGTGTTTTTAAAAAAAAGTAATCCACCAAACACAATCATCAGCTTTTGTTAGTAATATTTGGTGTTCATAAAAGAGGGTTATATGGTGACAGCTCATATCACATCCTGGTTTTAGTTTTTCGTCACACAAACACACACGTGGACACAAACTGTTCTATGTTATGCTGTTAAAGGGATGAAAGCAAAATGTTAAGACGCTGAAGTTTGTTACCGTCAGCCAATTTATGAGGAACCCATTTGTTCAGTCTTCCCAAGTAGATGTAAGCTTGAACGAATGTTTCTGTTAAGTTGACCATTCTCTCCAGATATGTTTGACTGGAATGGAGTTCGATAGCTTCCGTCAATTCGCCATCATCCAAGACCGAATGTATACCGGACCGCGGTTCATCTCCGATCGTCTGATTCCCAGAAACAAACGGTTTGAACAATTTTTTGGGCAGCGCGCTCACTTATTGTTTCATACCTAACGCATCGCGAATTTTACGAGCTGCCTCGGCTGCCCTAGTAATGATCTTAAATTCATATAAAGAAAGCAAAATTTATGGGTATGAGAAGAAAATATTTTATAATTTATAGCGCACTGTTCAAGACAATTTTCTTAATGAACTGACGTGTTATTCTCTTGGTATTACGTGATGTAAACACCTAAATTTTTAAATAGTTGAGAATACATGACGAATAGTTACACTGTAAAAAATATTTTTATGGTAAGTAGTTGTAAATTAATAAGACTTTCAATTTTGAAAACTTGAAACTTTTTGTCATAAAGGCTCGAATATTTTGAAGATTCCTTAGCCATAAGTATTACAAAACATTTTCCTAAGGATTCGTTAAATTTATTATTCAAATTGGTTGATAATTTCCAAAGGAAATTGCACTTTTCCTTCACCTCAGGAGAGCCAATAAAGTCAAATAATAGTATAAATATATAAATAAATAATGTTTCTATGGAACCATGCGCTCTCTAGGATTATTTAGAGAGAACAGAACTGTCGATTTCATGATAGTACCAGAAGTTTTCGAACTCAGCTTTTTGGGTCTTTTCGATTTTTGTTCTTTATATGGGTCGCGCAATTCGAATTTTCAAAAAGGCAAAATATGCGTTTAGTTAAACCCATTATTTTTATCCAAGAGGCCGCCAAAAATGCATGTAAATAATGCACCAAAGTGAAGTTAAAATTTAAAGAAAATATACGAAAAAGTTGAAGGTGGAAAATCACTGGTCTGGAGTTTTTTTTATATTTAATTTATGTGCAATTTATAATCTAAATATATGTAATTTTAATCTAAATATATGTAATTTTGTATAAATTTACATTTACGTTTTGTGAAAGTTAGCATAGCTTTTGGTAAATATATCTTTATTTACTTTAATTTCTTTCAAATTTCATTTCATTTTAAATGATAATTTTTTTATCCAATATTTGAAAACAATCAAAATTAGCTCAAAGAAAAAATAATCCTGAAAATGTTTGGAGTAAATGGGTACCTGTTATTAAGTGTTTTTGCATTGTCTCTCCTTAATTAGTCCTATCTTATAACTTAATTATATCCGTTAGTTTTATTATTGCAACGTTGATGACAGATAAGTCTAAGAACATTTTATCGGAGAGCATGAAAGAGTTATATACCATGATAAAATTAGAAATTTTATCACGCTGTTTAATTACTTTTCACTTAATGATTCCACCGCAATGTTTGTTAGGTAGATGGGCATATTATGGCACTATGTATATGTTGTTGAGACGTGGATAAATATGGCTGCAAAGAAAATTCAGTTCGCCTTGTTAATCTATAATTAATATTTATTAAAATGAAACCTAATTGACAATTACGTAGTACACACGTAATTTTTTTTTACGAGGGTTCGCAACAACAGAGGTTATATCAACCCTCGGGGTGCCGGTGTTTTTGAAAAAAATCCCATTTGTAAGTGTGTCTGGTTCGAATGCAGGGACGCTGGATTCGAACCCGGGACCTTTACCTTACAGTGATGAGCGCCGTGTCAACGCCTAAACCGTTACGGCCACGGACGCCCTTACATACGTAATTCCAAGCGCATCTGGAGTTTATAAACCAATTGTTAAATTTATGCTAGTTCAAATATGTGGAAAAATTAAATATTGTTCATCACCATAAACAACTTGAGAAATACTGGATTGATTTTAGAAATAATTATGTTATTACATAATAGGGTACTGTTTTTATTTTTTCATCTAGTATATAATGTGTATTAATTAATTTATAAAGAAGATAAACTTTCACTTAAAATTCATTATCTTCATGTGATTGATATACGAGTTGTTATAAAAATCAGGGGTATGGCTGATAATTAGGATAATGAATAATAGTTTAAATCATAATTTTTAATGTTTATATTTGTTTGACGTTGAAATCATTAAAGTTAGTTTCAACTGGTGATGAAGGAGATTTATTCATCGAAAGCTTGACGAAAGTAATGATTGTTATATGTTTTTGAATTCGCCTTATTACGGATTTTTATATAATCGACAATGATAGAAACTAAAAATAATTTAAGTACAATATGTTGTTTTTGTGTGGCAAAAATCGGGTAACAAAATACGATATGATATATTATGTAAATATTTTGCTTTTAATTTGTAACTGTCAGGTTACTGTTTATAATTTTCTTCACTTTTTTCATGTTCTTATAGAGATTTATTTTTTAAATGTACAGTTATACCAACCGTTAAGCCAATGTTGCCAACAGGGTATTATTGCGCGTTTATTTCTACTGAATAGATGGAGTTCATTGTTTGGAAACAGGAAGGAATATTTCAAGTAGACACACTTAAAAATTTTTATTCATAAAAGATTGTATTTTTTTAATTTAAACCTTAATCCTTTTTAGTGTTTTTAACTTGACTCGGGTAGACGGATTCAGCAGTTTTGTCGTCTACGACGGTTACTCCAGGCACACCCTTTTCGTCGGCGTACTTCTTCGCCCAGTACATCCACGGGGCTTCGCTGTCATCTTTTCCGTCCGAATCGCTCCATTTCGATGTCCATTTTAACCACGGAGGCAGTGCCGGCGTAGGAGAGGGCTTGCTTTCAGCGGGCACCAACTTCTTCAACTCTTCAGCTACCATGGCCCTCAGCTCTTCTTCAGTTGGTACTGAGGGGACGGGGCTTTCTTGTGCTTCTTTGGCAGGCTTGGCCGCTTTTTCAGATTCAGAAGTGGCTGGAACAGACGGAGCAGAATCCAACGGCGCTGACCTGTCCTTGCTCAACCTTGCTTCTAGGGAATCGTACATGCTATAATCGCCATGCCAACCGCCCCAGTAGCCCCAGGCGCTAGCTTGAGCGCACACCGCTACAACTAAAATAAGAGCAGCTTGCTTCACCTAGGGGAAAAAAATCTGAATAAAATAAACAAGACTGCTAACCATTATTCAACTCTTGTCATTAAATGAGCACATTTAACATACTTCGAAGGTACATTTCGCATGTGATTTATTCCGTGGAAGAAAAGTCGGACAGGATTGAAAATTACAGGCCCCACGAAGTAGAGCTGAGCTGAATGAATAAAGAGTGGGCATGAGTCAAGGGACGTCATCCTTTACAGGTCATCCCAAGTGCGTCTTCGTGATTAAATTATCAATTATTCTTAAATATTTTACGTTTCATAACACACGCTTTCAAATGAATCATTTTGAAAAAACATATAACACACTGTCTGTACTACGAATTCGCTTCTAAATAATTATTACATTTTTATGGATAATTATACTTTTACAGTACCATTAGTCTATTTTACAAAAAATTGTTTCACATTTTGATCTAAACATGAGTTCGAATAAAAATATAGAAAAAATAAGTATAATATGTTTTTGGACTTAGCTGGCCGTAAGCTATAAAACTGGATATAGCCATTATTCGGTATGATTTGAAAATACAAGCTATACAGTTTTGATAAAATATGTGACCACAAATGTCTTACTGTTATTATTCATGTAATAGTAATATCTGATCCATGTTGTAGTAATAAAAAAAATATGTATGTCCCATAATCATTATGATACAACCCGGAGGGCTTGAAAATAGGTGACATGTAATTTTTATTCATTTCTGTCAAGCCGTAGTGATATTGCGCATTTACTTTTCTTGTTTGTTCTTTTATATTTAATTAAGATTTTTCAGATTTGACGAATCAAAAAGCAATTGTTTTACACTCAAATTTTTTAAATTAGATTGACCCACAGGTTCAATAATTAATTTTGATAGTATGCAACTCACTGCTCGATTCTTTCATTTTAGAGATTTCCATTTGTTTCGGGGTACTAATGAAATGTTGACAAGGAAAACATCATGAATATTTGTAGCAAAAGTTTAGATATATTTGACCACTCAAAGACTCAAGAAAGACGACTCAAAGTTATCACTTTAAAATAAAAAACGCCTTGTATGTTCCGATTGTTCACATTCCCGCGGTTTCTCACTAAAACCGTCCCTTAAACCCCCGTACACCGGACGGAAAAAACAATTTTTAAAAATGTTCAACCAACTTCAAAAACTCACCATGATCGCCTCTCGGTTTGATTGTAGCAACGGTTCTCTTAAATAATGAACAGACGGCACCGCTTCTATATAAAGGCATGAAGGAAAATTATTGCCCTTATCTCTGTCTGTTTACGTTCTCACGTAACAACAGCCTAAATTATACGTGACGACACTTTGATACACAGTTAATTGAGTCATTATGGGGTTAGTTCGAGTTAACATTGCACCCGCCAATATCAGCAGAATCAACGAGCACAATTCGCCATTTTCAGAAGTGAAGACATACCATGTCAGTCTTGTAGAACACAACGGTCAGCAGGATAAAGATCAGGATTAACAATTCAGAATAAAAAAACTCGCTTAAGGTATTACTTTCCGTGCCAATTATAATTAAGGTTCATGAAAAAATTTCATGTCTGTTTTGTCCTAAATTAATTTGCTCGTTGAAAACGTTATCATTCGTATCCTTCAACCTCTACGTATTAATTTCACTTTCTTTCTATAAATCTTTTTTGAAATAGATAAGACGGATAAAATATTTTTCAGTAGAATGATTTTTTTTTGTCCGGTAAAAAAAGCTCTCTCTCTCTCTCTCTCTCTCTCTCTCTCTCTCTCTCTCTCTCTCCCTCTAGCTTCAAATATCTCTCCCTTTTAAATTTTGTTTTTAGATTTTATTCTTTCCCTCAAATAACTACAAAAATATTTACAGTTACATTATTTTTTCTAAACCATGTTTCTAATTGTACAGTTAACTTATTCATATGTTACTAAGTAGCACAAACCTTCCCAAACAATTTAAAGATTCGTAAAAACGAAACATTTCTTAACAATACTAGAACAAAAAAGTGTTGTAATCTAATACAAAAAATATGAGGGTTGAAAAACAAGCCCTTCAGTCAGTTGGAAACCATTGGAACATAAGGGGAAAATCTCTCTTTCTCCCTCAAACTCTCTCTCTCTCTCTCTCTCTCTCTCTCTCTCTCTCTCTCTCGCTCTCTCTCTCTCTCTCTCTCTCTTTCTCTCCGAGAGAGAGAGAAAGAAATACGAAATTATTTATAGTTACACTATTTTTTCTAAACCATGTTTATATTAATATCATATAATAGATAATTTAAAATTATATTTATATGTATACCNCTCTCGCTCTCTCTCTCTCTCCCTCCCTCTTCCTCCCCTCTCTCTCAGCAAATAAATACGAAATTATTTATAGTTACACTATTTTTTCTAAACCATGTTTATATTAATATCATATAATAGATAATTTAAAATTATATTTATATGTATACCTAATTAGCTTTAATTAAATTATTCGTTAATCTTGAGATGCGGTCTGGTGTGATGAAGGTTTCAAAAAAAAATTTTCTTTATCGTGGCAACGTTTCGATCTTTATTGAGATCATCTTCAGGGCTCAAAGTGTTTTTTTTTTCTGCGTAATTGTGCCATTCTTGCGTGCCATGTTGAGAGTTCCCAATTTAATTAAATTATTAATATTCGACATAAGTATATAAATTATTTTTAGTTTCAATTTTCACTTAAATAATTGAGAATAATTATGTTTTTTTCTTTTACTTTTTATGTTTACATGTAACTTGTTACATGACCAGATGATTTACTATTAGTCTAAAATAAGCGCAACGTAATTTTTTTTGAAGGAATTAATTAAATTCTACAGTTCGCTTGTTCACATGTTTCCAAGTAACAAACACCTTCCTAAACAATTTAAAGAATCATAGTAACGAAATATTTCTTTACAATAAATTATTCTCCTACAAAAAATGATCCAAAGTTACACCCATACAAAAATTAATAAGAAAAGATAGTGTGGGAGATATTGTGAGAACGGAGATTAAGATAGCCGAATAAACATCTTATTTTAACCCGACGGAAATTCCTTTAGATATGCTTGGAATTTTTTTTTATTTTTGTCCGTAAACAATTCATACAGAATAAACATAATAATCCGTGCATGAACAAGGGAACACAAGGGATTGGCACTGATATCATGTGATCGTAGCAATGTAGTTTTATGGCATATGTACGTTTTAAAACAAACTTTTACCAACGATACATAAATAGTAAACCACGTAGGGTATAAATAACCTTCCAGATCCGTACGCAGCAACTATGATGATTGTACTTTATTTAGAAACATGATTGATCAGGATTATAGTGCTCTCTATTCATTATCATTTTTTTCCAGGATCATCACATTTAATAATATTTGAGGGTTGAAAAACAAGCCCTCCAGTTAGTCGGAAAACATTGGAACATAATGAGGAAATCTCTGTTTTTCTTTCTCTCTCTCTCTCTCTCTCTCTCTTCTTTTTTCTCTCTCTCTTTCTATGAAATTCTAGCTCTCTCTTCTCGGAAATGGTAAGGGAGATCATTTGTGAGATTTTCATTAATAAAAGCGATATTCATTCATTCAATCCGTCGTTCTCTTTTTGGCTCTGTCACTCTGTTTTGCTCTCTATTTGCGTTCTCTCACTCTCTCTCTCTCTCTCTCTCTCTCTCTCTCTCTCTTCCTATCTCCCTCACTCTTACTTTCTCTCTAAATATATATCTTTTTCTCTCTCAATCTCTATATCTCTATCTCTTTCCTTCTCTCTCACTATCGCTCTGTCGATCATTATATCCTTGTCTGTCTTTCTATTGTATAACATTCAAACTCTTCAAAAATAACAATAAATCTTTATTTGCAAGAATGTACATCATGTAAATTTATAACAAAAAATAATATTTTGGTACATCCCAGCCTGCTGTCTAAAAGCAAACTTTGTACTAGACAGCAGAATTTTGTGGAGATCATCAGAAAAATAAACAGAACATATCTTTAAAAAAATGAAAAACAAACGAATAAACATACTTAATACAGAATACACATGTAACATGAAAAAACAATCAAATTAAATCATGGCTTTAAAATATCTCAACTAAAATTTAAAATTTTCGAAATTATAAATTTTTGGCCTTCTTTGTAATTGTTGAAATTTTGAATAATAATCCTGTATTTTAAAAAAAAACTAAGTGCCATATTTAATGAAAAGTTATAATATTGCGTAGTTTTTATAATGTAAAAGTGTGTCAGCCAAATTGTGTTGTGTTATATTCACTGGTGTAACTAGTTACCAGATTATCTTTTTATGTATATATATACAAACATGAACATTTAAGAAAGATTCGGTATAGATTCATTACTAAAAATTTACTTTATAGTTTTTTTCGTATTATATCTATACGGTTTTGTAAAATAATTTTAAAAAGAGTGTTTATAGTTACATCCACAGTCTTAGAGTAGCATTTATTAGTACCTCCCCAGGAACCAATACTATTGGCTATTATGGAATAGAAAAATATATTGTCCTTAAGAGTTCAATTTTCATAAAGTTGCGTAAAATTCTAAATTTATAAAAGGTTTCCTCAGGCGGGAAACCAAAGAATCCAACCACAAATATGTAAATTAAATCTTAAATTCGAGTCCAATGTCACACCAAGATATCTAAGACTATAAGCGAAGGGGATTGGCAAACAAGGACAAAAAAGTAAAGGTATTTTAAGTAGTTTCTTCTTTCTTATTCCTGACCTCTTTTCGTTGGCTATTTTCTGAACTCTAATTACTTATTACGTCTTAACTTTCTCTCTTTACCGACCATTTACTCTCTCTCTCTCTCCTCCTTCTTTTTGTTCCTCAGTCTCACTCTCTCTCTCTCTCTCACTCTCTCTCTCTCTCTTTTCTCCTTCTTTTTGTTCCTCTGTCTCTCTCTGTCTATATCACACTCTCACCATTCACAATCTCCGTTTTTCTGTCAATCTCTGATTCCCTTTTACTCGTCACACTTTCTCACAAATACCCACACATACTCTAAATCTCTATTTCACTCTCTGTCTATATATCTTTGCCTGTATATCTCCTTCTCTCTATTATTATGAGTTATTTTACGTGTACATGATGTGTTAATTATGTACATGTTGTAATTACTGTACTCGTAATATGTAGTGTTTGTATATTTTGTAGTTTGATGTAAATGTTAATCACCTAGGTATGCAAAACGTCTATTGAATTTTTGACAAAAGTTCCTTCTTCTACTAAGGAGGTAAAAATCTTCGTTGCTGGAAAATAATTTATATGTTAATTGGCGTTTTTAACATTAACTCAACGTTTCATTGATCGTTGAATTTTTTATGGGATCTTAGCACGCGTCCGGGCGTATGGTTACTAATTAATCATGAGATTGATGTGGGCCGCATTGTTGGATGACCGCAAAGCCACACCTCCGCGGCCGAACATCATTTCACCTCGTATAATATTCATCCGGTCGACTACCACTCCGATGCGAGATGAAATTTTCCAATTGGAAATATGCGGTCATCTTTCATTGTCGGCCTATGACGCCGGATGGAGACAATGGCAGGTCAGTTATTTAATTAGCGTGGACGAATGGATTCCTGCTGACCTTTGCAGGCTTTGAATGAGCGTTTTGTCTAAGGGCGATAGCGGCTGATGCGCCCATTAGGATAAAGGCCGGGGAGACAATACCGTTTTCCAGGAAGGACAACGCTTAATAAACGACTTGTTCCACTCCTTTATCCCTCTTACAAAAGCGAACATGTAATTAACGGGACCCATCTAGATGGCTTTATTTCGTTTAAAAACTTCTGGCCTAACACAGTTGACTTACCTTAGATTAACAATGAAATGTTGTAAGGACAGTTTGAATTAGGAAAACATCTTAAAACCGAAAGTAGTACTGTATCCAGTAACAGTATTCAATCTGTTGACTTATTTTTTCAAATTATGTATGACCCAAAATATTATTAGAAAACTATTTGAAAAAATTCTCCTCTTGTTTAGCCCATTTTCATCTTCTTTTTGTACCATCAACCTGAAAATTAATCAATCATTGTCTTAACGTGACAATGTGGTTGAATCTGGCAAATAACTAGCTATATTTTCAGATGGCTAGTAAAAATTTATTTCCGGTAAAATATATATTTTTTATATATTTAAAAAACTCAATTAAATTATTGTTGCCCTCCAAAAC